GGCATGACCCTGACGACTCTGATCACCGCCGCTCAGCTTTGCATCCCACCCGAGTTGATCGCCATCGCCAGTGGTCTCATCATCAGCGTTCGGTCCCTTGGTGGCACGATCGGAATTGCCATTTACAATGTCATCTTCAACGATAGCATGAGTCACATGCCTGAGAACATCGCGAAGGCTGTGATCCCCTCCAAATTTAACCCGGAGAACTTGGGCATGCTCATCGGTGGTCTTACCGCTCACGACAACGAGATTCTCGAGAGTATTCCAGGCATCACTCCCACAATCATCGACAAGGCAGCAAACGCTCTTCTCGGCACTTATGTTTCTTCGTTCCAGAAAGTCTGGATTGCTGCAGCTTGCTTTGTTGCTGTCGCCATTATTGGTGAGTCTCTAGCCTCTGAATATCACTGTCATGGCCACTTGACTGACAATTATCCAGCTGCTGCTTTCCTTTTTGATCCCAAGAAGGAGTTTAACAACCACATTGATGCACCCCTCGAGAAGGAGGAAGCTAGCGTGTACAGTGTCAGCGCATAAAACCAGCAGCCATTACTACCTATGCAGCTTGACGTGCTTGTGGATCGGGTTGTCAAATGTTTTTTTTCGAATTCCCACTTACATATCCCTCAGGGTTAGAACATGTAGATTATACATCTAATTCAAAACACAAACGTCCACATTCATTCTCAATTTCTCATGAGCCCTTTTTGAGCCACTCTTGAAGATTTGGCGATTCTTGACTCGTGCTGTGGTTTCACAGTACATACCATCTTCGGCTTTTCTAAACAGCCAAGGCTCCTTCGAAGGCTTTCTCCGTCCTAAACCACCATTCTCGGCGCGCGGCTTCACGTCCCGTCGGTAATGAACACACCCTCTCCGAGCAACGCGCACCAAAAGGTGTGCTGCAAAGTCGAGATAAGCATGTCTGCCAAGGTTGACACCGGGCGTCCTCCCACACTCCACACACCGGTCAAAGTCGTTGGCACTAGCACGGCAAGGGACCGGTCTGAACCCCTGCTTCTCGTACCGCTGTAGGGTTTCTCCGCCGGGCTTGTTTAGCCCGGATTCCCATCGCCGAACAGGAAGCTTGCGAAATTTTTGTCACTAAACGCGAAGGTGGCAGAGGAGGATCGAACCAATCGCGGGTGATCCGTCAATGTGATGACGGGCAAAATGTTGTTGGAGCCGGGGTAAGATTCAACGCCAACTCCAGTCCTCCCCGCGGGTATGTTGCTGGAGACGAAAAGCAAGAGTTATCTTATGATGGAGGAGGGTATCAACTTATTTCGTGATAGTGGGATTCGGTTGGTTCCAGGGTGAAAGACTTTGAGATTTTGCCTAAAAAAGCCAGCGGCAGATTCAGTGCCAGTCTACCTGCTGCGCCGTATGTTGCACCTTTCCCAGCGCCTGAACGCCTCGGCTATTGTGTTGATTGATGCATGAAGAAAACGATGGCGTGGTTGTTACGTTTCTTTTTGGATTCTCGTTTGGCATCGGGCTTCCTCGCTAAACTGTGACAGGACGGATTGTTCTGCAGCAGGAAATTCTGAGTTACAATTGCCACATGCCAACCCAAACATTATCTGGGACCAATATCAATGAATATTTTTCTTTCCCGATTGACTGTTTACGATTACCACTAGAAGCTTTTCTCAGCCAATATTCGGTCTTTATTCTCCAAGGTATATGAGTAACAGTAAGATCAGCAACTAGTGAGATGGCTCTTAGTACCAAGAGATTCAGATCTGGTCCACTGATCGAAGCGCGAAGGATGTAGGAGATCCACGCCAGTCTCCATGTGACAGCGCTTGTTCACATGTCGACAAGGCCTAATCTCGCCAGCGTCAAGAGAATTCACCAGACCCTTGATTTTTCCCACCTGTATTACGGGGCTCACCCGTCGCAACATGCCTGCCCCTACTCTCAGTATAAATCCAGAATCCGCCACACTGTGTACGATGATTCATCCGACATCATGAATCTGCGGGATGTGGGCTTGCAACACGGCGCAACAGTGCGGCGTTCGAGTCTAGATGTGCTGATTTGAAATTTTCTCGAAGGACTTGGCGGCAGACTGGTCCGGCTCCCTTGCCACATGAAGCGTGTGATAACCGCTGGTTCGATGTTCCAAGTTCAGCACCATCTCCAACCGAGTCAATAAAACTTTGTAAGATGAAGTGATGGCAAAGAGGCCGCAATGGGCAAAACCAGCTCCGGTAGGATGCATACGAGATGCAAGGAATCCTCCTGATGAACACATCCCGCGGCCCCCATTGTCAGGGGCAGTGTGACTGAAAGCTGCATGTTCGTGGAAAAGGTGAATGGTTTTCCCATAGTGATAGTGCGCCGGTGCGAGAACTGCACTGCTGCGTTACCTAATGTACATTACGCGGCCGGATTGCCCCTGCCTCTTACATTGGAGGTTCTGCTGTCTTTCCCGGTTCCTGGTTTGTTTGCTTTCTACTTGATTCCGAAGTTTGCCTGTCATCATTCTGTGGAGATGTTGGCACTTGTTTGTTCGTCCGTGCTGCAACTGTTGTAATCGAAGACCGGACGAGGAAGATATCTTCGTAACCTGCTGGAGTTGGCTCAAGATGTGGGACGTTGGAGGCGTGCCGATTGTGCCTCGGAACTATGGCTTGGTCTTTTCGTCGTTTTTCTTCACTACCATGGCGGCCTTGGTAGTTGGGATGAGGACATACACGCGCGCTGTTCTCGTCAAGAATGTTGGGGCTGACGATATGTTGATGATAGTCGCTTTTGTGAGTCCTCATTTCGCGGAACTTCCAGGATTCTGGCCCGGCTCAGAGTTAACGCCAGGTGTGACACAAAGATCGGTACTATCGGTTATCTGGTAACGATCATTCAACGTAAGTATTGTCAGCCTCGATGTCCGTCATGATTATGGCTAACTCATGTTCTGCAGAAATCAAATGGGGACTTGGCGACGCTATCGGCCTCGAGGAACTGGTCGAATTCCTTCGAGCTCTCTATGCGACCGTAGTGTTGTACAACTTCACCCAGCTCTGCGTCAAGTTCTCGATTCTCTTTCAATATCGCCGAATCTTTCGAACCGACGGAGCCAAGAGAATTATCACCGGGTTGATTGCATGGCTCGGCGCGTATGCAATGTTCTGCCTGGGCACAACAATTTTCACTTGCTGGCCCGTGGCAAAATACTGGGATGACTCAATTGAGGGAGGTTGCATCGAGCGTTCAGTCCTGAACTACGCCATTGCTGGGTTCAATATTGTCAACGACCTCATCATCCTCTTCATACCAATCCCGTGGCTCAAGAATCTGCAAGTAACTTTCCGCGCGAAGCTTGTGCTTATCGGAGTGTTTACTTGCGGCGCCTTGTGAGTTATCCATCGTGACGATAAATGTTGAATATGGGTCGGCTAACACATATCTGATAGCGCTGCCATTGTGGCCATCGTGAGGCTTCATTCGTTGTATGTGCACGGCTCAGCACCTATAGATCAACAGCCACGTGAGTTCTCCTCTCGGATGTCTCTTGCAATATAAAACTTCTGACAGTCCGTAGTCGTTGGTGTAGACATTGCTGTCTGGTCTGGTCTTGAGATCAACATCGCCATTATTTGCGCATCAGTGCCTGCACTCAAGGCTCTTTTCATCAAGATCATCCCGAAGCTTGGGACATACAAGAAGTATTCAAAGAATCCTTACGGACGTAGCACGACCGGAAACCTTCCTCTACGAAGCTTCGACAAGCGAACGGGGAACTTCTCGCAGAGCGGGAAGGACAGCAACAAGATGGAGATCCAGGTTCACAGATCAATCGAGATGAACGTCATGCCTGTGGAGGATGACGATAGCCAGAAAGACCTTGTCACCAACGGTTGGGCGGCAGGCTGCTATGCTCAAGGCCAGCACTCAGAGGACGCGGAGGCTCGAGCTGGAACTGGTTCTGGTAACCGTCGAAGTAATATTAGAGCCAATTTGAGGTGATGATATGGTAGATCCCCTCAGTTTTAAGATGGAATGCAATACCAAGTAAAAGTTGCGAGTCACGAAAGCCTTATGATTGGATGTAGGATTTGAAGCATGTGCATGTGCAGCAAGAGCTAGACGACCTAGCGCTGATGTTTTCCTCACTCTCGTTTCTTTTCAGTCTCGCGATTTTAGACTCCTTTGCGCTGGCTTACAAGTCTTAATGGGCAGCAAAGAGCTGAGTCATGATCTACGAGAAAACATATATGAGGTCATTCCACTGATGACGCTGGATCCAGGACCAGGCAGTCTGCAGGGTTTTCGTACAGTACCCCGTCCATTTTCTAAATCGCTCGATACTTTTCGTCCATGTTGAATGCATTCATCGAAACAACCACATTCTTCGTCATCATCACCACGCAAGGTAGGTTGGCTTGCTGTCGTAGAGGAAGGTCGCAAAATCTTTCCTGCAAAGAAGATGGCCATCGCGAAGAGAACGGAAACCAGTAAGATCGTATCCAATGGCCCGACTCGTTGAGCACATTCACATGCGTTGCTGCTGAAACCACAGCAGTCTTGTTGGGTGATTTACCATCGGCAAAGATGTTGTTGGTCCTTCAAACACTGTCACGTTGCGCCTCTGCTTACATTATTAGATCAGTCTCATGAGGTGCATGAAGGGGCTGGGCGTCATGCCAATTATAGTGATATTCTCTGTAAGGTATCAATCTAGGTTTACTCTGATATCGCTGATATGCACGTGATGATGTTCCCAGCTTTTCGGTAATGATTTAAACTCTTCCCGATCACCAGGCAGCCGACAGCGGAGCACTGGAAATTCGGATGTCAGCGCCGACGGACTAGAGGCCGAAGTGGGGCCGCCGGGTTCGTCAACAGTTGGCTCATAGTTGCCGGTGTGAATCTGACTCACATTTTAGTGCTGTCTCTTTCACGATTACGGAGTCTCACTTCAGATTCAGATCTTCCATACTCTTCTCATTTACCGCGGATAAATTGGAATTGAATTGCGTGATCTAGCGACCATGGCGACCACTTCCGTTTCGTCGACCCCGCACCCGCACCTGGGGTGGATTGGTAGGTTCCTCCGACCGCTGACGAGGCATCAACCTACCTCAGATACCTGATGCGGCGAGACGTTTATGGCTGATTCCTGACTTACTGCAGGTCTCGGATCCATGGGCATTGGTATGGCTGTCAACTTACAGAAGCACCTGGTACAAAATGGCGCACCAAGTCTACAGTACTACAATCGCACAATGTCTCGAGGTGAACGGCTCGAGACCATCGGGGGAATCCCGCGGCCCGACATCAAACAACTCTTGACCAACTCAGACATAATATTCATGTCTCTCAGCGATGATGCTGCCCTTGAGACGATGCTGGATGCCATCCTTGGAAACGTGTCTCCCGAAGATCTGGCCGACAAAATTATCGTTGATACCTCAACTGTCCACCCTCTTTCATCAGCCAAAGCCCGAGAACGTCTCTTGGAAAAGAAGGCCAAGTTCATTGCGGCCCCAGTCTTCGGTGCAAGCCCTGTTGCTGCGGAGGGGAAATTGCTCTGGATCATTGCTGGTCCGAATGATGCAGTCGACGCCATCAACCCGTTCATCGTTGGAGTAATGGGGCGAGGGGTGATTCGCCTCGGCGAGGATGTTCAAAAGTCCAGCATGATGAAGACCGCCGGGTAGGATAATCATCCTTCGAGAATGGGGGCTGCATGCTGACCTTTTTTAGAAATTTCGTCACCGCTGGAATGATGGAGCTTGTTGCAGAGGCCCACGTGTTTGCCGAAAAGACCGGCCTTGGGAGCGAGGCTATGGAAGCTCTGATTGAGCAGCAATATGGCCCTCTCGCATTGTCAATGTCCAAACGTTTGACAACCGGTGCTTACCTCCCCGCACAAGGCCAAAGACCGTGGTCCGATCTTGGACTCGCATTGAAAGATGTTGGACACGGGATCGACTGTGCTGGAAAATCTGGTACTCGACTAGAAGTCGCTGAGGTTGCCCTGAAACACCTGCAAGAAGCCAAAGAATTCTCAGATGCACAGGGCCGGCCATTGGATTCATCGTCAATGTATGGAATCTTGCGCAAGGAAGCCGGCTTGTCATTCGAGACGGACTTTGTCAAGAAACGAGACGGGTCTGAACTATGAATGACAGATTTTGGGTTGGCGTTCAACTCAAAACGTAAGACACGCAGAGGGGGACGTTTCTCAGCTCCATTAGCTTTTCTTCATGTCGTCTGAACGAGATTTGGAAATCATCATGGAAAAGACTAGGAAGAAATCAGCCTTGACAATCAGATAATAAGTTGATCAGCAGAATTATGTAAGTCGTGACTTCAGGCAATGTCGACTATCACGGTCTTCATGGTCTCGCATTACGAGAAACTCCGTTCGGCAAAACTTTGTTCATCATGCAGTCAAATGTCGTTGTGAATTAAATGTATGGAGTCTCTTACCGGGATTGGTTTGCATTCAATGTTTCTTTGTGTATGTGGCGGCGATAGAGAGGAAACACACGCGAACATACGGTCTTTCACAGAAACATATTTTACACTAAATAATTAAATAGTGCTTTTCAATGATGGGAACTGCAACGACATTATCTACAAAGCTTTACAAGCACGAACTTGACACCACTGGGAGCACTTGTGACCGCCCCGCCATCCCGTCGAAGAGAATTGCAAATAGTGAGTCTTATTTTATCATCGGTGAGTCATTGTTGATACATAAACCCTGGAGGAGCCATTATACCAGTAGCAAATGATAATTTCATGAAGTAGGCTATGAGGTGACATGAGCTGAAATGAATCATCCTAACATCCCGGCATGTGGACCTCCATTTTGGCAGCCAACAGTCTACCTACTGTGTAAGGACAAGAACTGCCATCCAATCATCATACTAGCACCAGGATCTAGAACGGCTTTTAATAATTGCAACATATACCTAGGTGACTCATTGTCACCAACTACGATAGCAATAGCATATACGTTGAATCATATTCTAATGTACGTAAGCTGACCGACTTCACGCCATTCTTGTGCGCTTGAAATAACATGAGTCGTCGTTCCTCATCTCAATCTCTGAGACAAAGATCGGTCAACTTGTTGGCGCTCATCTACCACCTTTTCGTCGCTACCATCATTGACTCGGGTACTTTGTTCCATGTTTCTGCCTGCATAGTCCTGATAGCCTCCAGTTGACTGAGGCACCCCGTCAATGTCGAGTGTCCCCGCCGCATTAGCCCTAGAGAAGATGACGCCCGGCGCAATAGGGTATATTCCTTCCATCACCTTAGCCTTTGGAACAAGCACATTGAACCAGCGGGGCATGATAAGTCCCACAAGCGTTGCGACCAACACGATATGCATGAACGTGAAGCCAGCAATGTGGAGAGGATCCATGCGATTCTTGGCGTAAAAGTTTGGATACGCGAAGGAAAAGATGATTGAGACGATAGGTGCAGTATTGTATTTGAGGACGAAGCCCCAGATGGCAGGGATCTTCCACTGGCTACCGGTAACAATTGTGGCATTAAGATCACGCCGGAGTTGATTACCCTAAGGAAAACGGTCAGCTTTATCGGCGTATATTTCATAGTGTGGATTGTATGTACCGAATACGAAGTAAGATACCAGAACTTGCGCATCATACCGTTTTTGTTGAAAAACTTGGGACAATAGGCTCCAGGGTCTTTGGCGAAAGCCACGGCAGCGACCGTTCCAGCTATGAACATGCCAAATCCAACGCCAGCACCCGCTTGGGGAGACACGGCATGAGCGACAATGAGTCCTATTACGGTGCCTCCGATGTAGCCAAATATGTTGTAGAGAGACCACGAGATTAGGCCACACTGATCGACGACATCGCGATATCGGTAAAGAGTTGTGGCGCACACAGCCTCGCACCATACTATCCAAAAGAGGGCAAGGTAGTTGATCCAGGTATCGGCTGCGTCGACTAGAAAGTACCCGAATTCGGTGCAAAACGGTAGTGAAATCAGAAATGAGACGATGATAATGCCGGTTGACACGTAAGGGCGAGGGTACTTCTGGCCCCAATCCGTGTCGCAGACCATAGTGACAAGGGTCTCGAGGAGGGCGAATGCAGAGCCTAGACCGAGGATGAAGAGAGTTGCGAAGAAAAGCACGCCCCAAAAGTTGGCGCCCGGCATCTCGGCAATGGCCTCTGGGTATGTAAGAAAGCCAACGACAAAGGTATTAAGTCTGTCGCCAGTATCCGGGTGCATTCCGAGGTAGCCGACGACACCGAAGACGGACAAGGAGCCCAGGATCTCGATTAAGGAGTTGCAGATGCAAATGATAAGGGCGTCTTGTACGGCGTTGGAGTACTTCTGGTTGTACGAGGCGAAAGAGGTGTAGTATCCCATGCCAATTCCTGTAGAAAAGAAGACCTGACCACAAGCCTCTTGCCAGATCGTACCTGAGGCCAGCTTGCTTCCATGCCACTCGGTCCAGTAGATACGGATGCCGTCGATTGCATTGGGCAAAGAGCAGCCTCGTCCGATAAGCACAATCATGAGAATGATTGGCATTGCCATGGTGAAGTACACGACGCGACCCATCAGGCCTACACCTTTGTACATGCAGAGCCAGACGATGAACCAGGTAAATAGGTTCCAAAGTGTAATCTCAGTGTTCATACCCATGCCTGGATATTCTGAATAGTCTTGAACGGCCGATCCATCAGCAGTCAAGTTGCCTGCGATAGGGTCCACATTTTGGAGGACATCGCCGTAGAAAAAGTCTTCATTCCTCCCGGTCCAAGGGAGAGGACTGATGAACGAGTGGCGGAAGTAGGACATGATCCAGGCGATAATAGGGACATAGTAGACGCACACAGCGTAGCCAATGTATACAACACCAAATCCGACTCCTTTCGCCCGATGATGAGCATGATGCCACGCCAATACACAGCCACCCCGATATGCCTGACCGATGGCTATCTCGAGGAGTAAAGTCGGGATGGCGAGACAGAGGAGCGAAATGAGGTATGGGATGAAGAACTGTAGGCCATGATTGTTGTAGACGATTGATGGGAAGCGCAGAAGGTTTCCTAGGCCGACAGCCCCGCCCATCGCGGCGAAGATGAAGGAAAGTCGGGAGCCCCAAACATCGCGACCGTCTTCGCCCTTATTTGCTGACGGCGATATGAAATGATACAGCTTTGATCCGAAGTTGACCATGATGGCGACCCTTCGTGGCGACCTTTGGGTTGTGTCCACAGACTACCAGCCAAATTGAGCTTAATGCCTGCTGCGATGCTGGAGGCGTTTTATTGAATGAACGTCCGATGGTTGATTAATTATCAGAAAGAACTAAGGCTTTTGCGAAAATTTGGAGAAGAATCGTAATCACGTTCGAGAGTGGCATGCACGTCTATCTTATCTACTGCAAGTACATCTACCAAGACAACGTCCTGCCGACATCCCTTCTCCGAGAATTGCGCCTTTGGGCAAGATATTTCCCGCAGGAGATTGAGAGCATTAGATCGGGCTTGTCAGCCCCGGGCGACGGACGCACGCGACCATGACAGCCAAGTGTCTTGGATGCTCTTCGAGTGATAAGGACCTTCCGGAAGCTGAAAAGTCTCCCAAGATGTGGCTTGGAAGTAGGGATTGCGAGACAAAAATGATTGGTTCAACGGTCCCGTTGCTTTGCCAAGCGTTGGGCCAAGGCTCGCATGGTACACAGCGGAGCGGAATCCTGGCTGTAGGTTCACTTTGCCTTGCCCATCGCGTTGACGGATTCTTGATAAAAGATATCACGCTCGTGTTGATAGGCGATATCCCCACTCCTTGGCAACTGCGCTACGACGTCAGCAAGCCGGTTCGCCGATTCTGGCTGGGGGCACGGGTTAATGCAAGGTTGACGCGTCCACGACCAACCCGTCATCTGGTTGGTCCATTGGTATCTTGGTGTTCTTGGTAGTCTTGGAGGTCTTGGATTGAACTCTGAGGCGAAGCATGCTCAGCTTGACCTTATTACGTCGCCCAAGATGGGCTTTCAGTCATGTTGCTTTGGCACGGCGGCAGTAGATGGGTTACTCAATGTTTATATCTGAAATTTACAAGGTCCGGATCTCAGACAACTGTCGTGCTTTCCAAAGCTTTTCTTCGGACGATGCATATCCCCCGGAGTGAATTCAATCTTTTCCGTCGAGATGTGGTGACATTTCTGACACTTTACGAAGCAAGGGAACTTCTGGTTCTACGAGAAGTGTATTGCCGTTCGCTATCGCTACCCACTACGAAAATCTTCGGGTTACTTATGGTAGGTTCTGAGAGAAAGCCCACATCCGACCGTTCAAAATCTAGACCACTTCTCCCGGGACGACCACAATTTTGCCACTCTCGGTTTTCCTTATAGTTGGGATCGAGATCTTATGACTCGACATCGGTTTATCGTTGACAAGAACAGGAGTCGGTAAAACAGGTCCATCACCCCAGCCGCTCGAGAGACTCGAAATATCCGACTCCATTGAGCTTCTCCAGGGCAATATCAGCGACTCTTTGGATGTACTTGAATACGTTCGTCGGCCTGGGAATGATGTCGGCGACAGAGACTCAGAGGCCGATGTCGCTGGCTTCGACCTTGTCATCAACCCCTTCAATGACGTTGCCCGTGGCTGCTTGGTGCCTATGTATGGTGGAGGAGGCCAGCTATCAACCCTAGCTCGAGCCATCTCTGCGTTTCTGGCCCTGCGGTTGATGGCAGACTGAGATCGGTATTCCGAACGCCGCCTGAGGCTTCTCGTCTCGTGGGACCTCCTCTGTACGCGTGAATTGCGCTGATTGAGTTGGTGACACTTGGGAGACGGCGCGTGTGTGACGTGTTGGTCGGTTCCCTACAACACCCGTGTTGCTGTACATCGATGAGCTTGCTGTATTTGATGATTGTGCGGGAATCCGACCATAGCCTTGAATGGGTGGCGGAGGTGGAAGCGAGGTCATCGGAGGGTGCGAGGTCAGCGGGGGTAGATCCATTGACGGTCGAGGAAGAGGTGATGGCGGAGTTATTGGAGGTCCGGATGAGCCCATTACTGATTTTGCCTTCTCTGCTGTTCGGCGCTTACGTCGGGCTCGCAACCTGCGAAAGAAGAAGATTCCGGCGAAGAAAGCGAAGAATGCTGAGTGTGATGACGGTTAGTCATGGCTTCATTTGTGTGTCGAGATACGGGCCTGACTCACCAACGATGAGAACGACGATGCCAGCCGTCCGCCCTGCATTATTTGAGTTTGCTGCCTGCGTTGGCGGAGGTGCTGTGCTTGTCTCCGGAGCCGCTGCTGCTGACGACGTCGGGGCGGATGGAGCTGAGCTTTGTGCTGTTGGTAGTGGTACAATACTCGTCTCGAGGGATGTTGTTGGTATCACTACAACGGGAGCAGTCGATGTCGGTGGCGTCTGAGGTGCCGAAGAGGGCTCAGAGGCTACAGGCACGGTCGATTGAGTTGTTTGCGTTAACGTTGGTGTAGCAGCCTGCGGTGTGGAAGTTGGAATGACTGAGCTACTGATTTGTGGGTTTGTTGGTGTCGAGGAAGGCTGGCTAGCAGATGAAGTCGAAGAGGATGTGCTTTGTCTATGTGTTCTTGTGCTGCATCTTTTCTCATCATCGTCATCATCGCAGTCATCATCTTTCTCATTCGGATCATCCTGGCGAGCTAGAAGCTGAAAGTCCGGTGAACGCTCGTTTCTTGGGACTGGCTTCAGGGATATGTCAGTATTTGATAGGACCCCGGGAAACGTTGGGCAAAAGACCCCAATACCTACCATTCTGCGGATTACAGACATTATTCAGATTGGAGATTCAGGTTCCGATCTTCTTTGTTGTCTATGTGGTATGCTGAACACTCCACTCGATGTCCCTCGTCGTTCGTCGTTAGGCGATCGGAATTTCGGATAGAGTTTCGCAGACCGGCTGCTGACCTGATCACAGACTGTAACAGAATGCCTACGAGCAGTACCCCTCGACTAGGAGAGATATGGCAGTATGCTGATGATCATTTGACAGCATCCTTCAATTGTCTCTGTCGCAGCTTTATGAAGAAAAGCTGAGGGCAGTGGAAGGCCATGATCAAATGTTTCACACTTCAGCTGGCTAGGGATGATGAACGAATTGTGGACCACATAAAGCTTGTTTTAGCTCCGAAAATAAATTGCCGTTACTCATCCCTACCTTTATCAGACAGTAACTTATCAATTCGGACGGCGAGAAGTGCTTAGAAGAGTCGAAGTGGTTTCAGTGTTCGTACCCCCGCAGAGCTCTCCAATTCGCCATTCGACGGCGATGCTGCCCCTGTGTCTCTCTTCTTCAGATCCCGCGCTTCGTACGGGGACGGAATGCAACGTCACGCGGCGACGGGTGTAACTCGGGATCACGGCTAGGATGGGAAGCTTGTTCTTGAGGCTGAGTATGGTTGATGATGGCTTCAGATTATCTGCCGGCCCTTCACATCTAATCTGATGCCGTGGTCCGGGCGCGCTTTTGTTCCGAATACAGCCCGATGAGGCCTTCGATGCCACCCCAATAGCTGTGGAGGAGACCAATTCAGCTGTTGATGTTTCATAGACTGGTTTGCGGGGTTGTTGAAGACATGGAACCCCTGACCGTCACCAATGTGGTGAAGGGATGAAATGATTGGACGTCTGCTGTCGGCTCCGAAACCAGATTATCCCATCGGCATGAAGGGCCGTATTACACAACACGCCGCGGTCACCACCGAAAGATTAGTAACCAATCGACTGAGTACGTTAGCTAACTCGACAGTTAGCGGCCAGTTGCTACATGATCACCAGCTGGAAAATGTACAACAACCTGATCAAAAACATGAAGGCACATTTTCCCCCAAAGCATGAACTCAATTCAAATAAGACCTGAGCTAATAGATCGGACTAAATCACAACCGTCCAAAGTACTAACCAAACGAATGTTGTCACTCTCAAAATAGAAGACATAACAACCTTCCCAATCCTCTCGCCTCCCTCCAACAACCCCCGCCTTCGATCCCCACCGATTCCGAAACTCCTCTTTTACATCCCGGGATCTATGGAAGTTTCACGTCAGTCAAAATCACAGCTTGACCGTGTTACTCGGCCACTCACGGTGGTCAATGTCCCGAGCGCGAGGCGGCGGCGGAGGAGGGGGTCCCGGAGGAGGTGGGCCTGGTGGCACCGGGGGCGGTGGTGGAGGAGGCGGCGGCGGGTTTGGGGGCGGTGGAGGGGGGTTTGGTGGAGGTGGCGGCAGCGGAGGCGGATTAGGAGGTGGGTTAGGTGGATTCGGGGGCGGCGGCGGCGGCGGCGGCGTTTGTTGCGGTCGAGCTGCACACTGTTGTTAAACAGTTTACAAGATTAGTATTATTCTCTGCTTCACTTACGTCCATCATCGACGCCATCCCTCTTCTGAGGAGGCCTAGGGGGGTTTCGACCTTCACAGTCATTGTAAGCTTCGACCAAGCGATACGGGTACTTGTGTACACTTACCTCGATCGCCATCGGGACCGTCCTCAGGCTTAGGTGGACGTCGTCCTTCACGCCAATCATTAGCCAGAAAGCTTCCCGGTTGGTCTTGAGTTCCTAACATACCACCATCATCAGGAGGTCTGGGCGGGTTACAGTCACGAGCACGCAACTGTGGCGGTCTGGGTGGCCGTCCGCCTGTGAAGGTCTGGATTAGCTCTCTGTGAAGCCTTGTTGGTTGTTGTGGACGACACTCACCACGGCCAGGCCCGTCGTCGTCATCAGGGCAACGGTCTCGAACCCAAACGCTTGCGTCTGGAACGTGAACTGAAGGATCATTTCGTCGTGCCTTGATACCGAGGTGATCCTCTGGGTCCATCATATCAGGCTTAGAAGGAACGGCAAGTCCAGCTGCCAGTGGCTCCAATAGGAGCAGGCCAAGAAGGGCCTGTTTCCAAGAGAGGGTAGGCATATTGAGAGTGGTTCAGTGCGATAAAGGTATTGCGTAATCGAGCTGACTGAATGTCTGATCTGGGGACAAAGATGGATATTTGAGGAGGATATCAGACCTTCTTATACACTTCCGTAATCACACAAATATCCTCATCTACTTCATCCTTGCCGTGAACATATCCCGATCATGTCTCATTCATGCCAACATCTACCCAGGCATCTCCCCTCAATCAAGCCCACGGGGACCTAGTTGATCTCGAACCGAACTCAGCAAGAA